GATTGAGCTTTGATGCAAGGCATAAGATTTTTTATTTTCTCAAAATACTGTTGATTTTATTGAAAACAATGTAGTTGCTGCAGCGCTAAACAATTCGTTTGACGAGGAAGCCTCAGGATCGGATTCGGTGATTGTGCTCTCCGAATCAGCTTCAGAAACCGTTATTGCATCGACAGATCCCGTATGCTTTTTAAATTTTTAACAGTATAAAAATTTCATGAATTTGAACTTTTTATTGAAACAGCATAGATTCTTTTAATAAACACCATTTATGATTGTTTTCATTTGATTCTACAGATTTTGATAATTTTTTTGTTAGTTTTGAGAGCATTTTTTAAGTTAATGCGGTATTTAAATGTAGTTTATACAGGAATATTTTAAAAAGTTGTTTCATCGTCGCATTTCTTTTTGCTGTTGATGCAGCTGCTAGTATCTCTATTCGTCCACATAATTTTTATGCTTTTTTGCCGTATAGCGCTGGAGCACTGCAACAGGCAGCAAAAACGCATATTGGAACGAGCCTGGTGTGCTACCCGGCCAAGCGCCATCTCAGGACCGCGGTACCAACCCTCACACATGTCTGGACCTTGTGTACGATCGCGTGAAAGTTTTGGCGGGAAAATTGCTAACTCGGGAACTAGAAAAGAAAGGAAGCTGAAAATTTAGGACAATGTTCCTTGCAATTTATGTACGACCAGAAGATTGCAAATTTAGCTCTTTGGAATCGTCCGGTCTCAAGTAGGCACTTAAAGGTTTGGCGGGAAAATTGCTAGCTCAGAAACGAGGAGAACTAGAAGCTGAAATTTTAAAGAAATGCCCCTTACTTGTGTACGACTAAAAGGTTTTAAATTCAGCTTTTCTGGTGGGATCTTTTTCACAGCAGCAGTTTTCCGCTTGTCGGATCACTAAAGCCGAAATTCTGCAGTTGACACAACACATAGCTGCGCAGTTAACTTCCCGAACTTCGAGGGCCAGTATGTCACAAATTCTAGATTTCTTACGATCCTGCTACAGCACGAAATAGTGTAAAAACGCGTGGTCGCACTGGCTCGCCTGGTGCACTTTACTAATGACTTTTTTAGATTTTTGTTAACTGAAGCTCCAAAAAGCAAAAAAAATTCTTGAATTTGAAGGTGATGCGAATGGACGAAATGATTCGGAAACTCAACAAACTGCTCGCGTTCCTTGCGCAATTCAATGCTAAAACGCAAGAAATAAAAACTGTTCAGGATGCGATGGATTTTGATGTGCAATCTTACTTGAATGCCTGCAAAACTGGATTAAATAAGGTTTGCATCTGTGTGCTCTGGTTTTTTTCTGTGGTACTTTTCCGTGCTTTGCCACTCTTCATGTGGCCATACTGCACTACAGTGCCGCATGTCGAAATATCCTGGCCGAATCCTGTATTCTGCAAGGAAAAGGAGTGGGAGGGTAGAGGTGAGGTCTATAAAGATCCGAGTTAAGTCGACCCGGACCCAAAGTCATAGTGTTGCATCATGACTCCCTCCTAGGTAGGTCGTGTAATGCCGTGAAAGCGGCCTTTATAAGACAGCTGTGTCAGTACTGAAAGGGTATTTAAGTCGAGGAAGAGCAGGATTGGCGTTGCGCGTATTGCTGTTGGTTGCGCTGTCATGCATTGCTCTAATGATAGGTATGTTTAGTTAATCGATGAGCAAGTGCAACAGCAAGTGTCCGAAAAGTTGGCCTCTCATGCAGTGAACGTCTTGCAACTCATGGAATGGTGCTGGCCTGAGGTATTTTTTATATTTTTGAGTTATTTTCGCTTACTCTATTTCAAACGTGCCCTCCTAGTATGTTTGAAATACTTGAAATGCTTTTATCAGTTTGCGCCAGTCTTCCCTTGCTGTCAGTGCTGTGGGCTAAATAAAGTTCCTCGCATGCTTATCACGTTGTTTCCTTCCAAACACCTTGCTACTTGACGCTTTCACATGATGGTTAGGGGGCTGTACTGATGATTCCTATCCCTAACTGCATCTTATACTGTCTGTGCTCACAGCTAAGGAATGAAACACAGGCAGGCCAACTTGTACATGTTCTTCTTTACATGACTTTTCAACATGTCACACGGTTTGTACCACATTAACAGCCCTGCAGTCTTCCTCTTCATAATCTATTCACTGTTTCCACCCCACATTAAAATTCATGGGTTACGGCCGTTCCATATTTCTCGCGCTCCGGACTGGCCGTTTACTTCAGAAATTACGGTTCGACCTGCTAAAGGCCGCAAATTATTTATCAGTTAAATCCACTCCGGCTGCTCCACTTGGACCGTCCACTTATGATTCGGCTTTCTAATGGCCATTAGTTATTATTACATTTTCCCCTTGTGCTTGAGCCGGTAATTCAAAGGACGTTACAGAAGTTGACCACCAGACAATGCAGTACTGGACAAAGCAATTTGGAAAGATGCCAGCTGACGTAACTGAAAAAGCACACTATGTATTAACACAGCATTCACTTGTTTTATAGCTTTATTTACCAACTCCAATCGCATTTTGTGAATTTTCAGATTAATGAAGTGATCAGGCCAGAAGATGTCTTCCAGAGGCTGTCCGAATTGTTGGCAACGGTACGAACGGAACGAGCATGAGGGTTCAAAAATTTTGATTTTTTTTTTTTAAATAGCATTCTCCTCCTGGGTCTTCGCTGTTATCCTCAAAAGAAAACATATTATTCATTGTGTTATTGAATACATGTTTCTGTTTTTATTTGGATTTTGAATTTTATGGCTTTTTTTTTCATTGAGTTTGCGACAATTTTTTTAGCTTCCCGAGTGGTATTTATATAGTCAGCCGAAATTATATGATTTAAAAGAGCACATAGTTTAGCTGGGTATACTAAATGGAATGGAGTAGGAAGGTTCGATTTAAATATTCCATGCCGAATCTGCTAATCCAAGTGGCAGGGATTGAGAGATAGTGTTTTGGAATATATAAGCAATATGACAATAGCAAAATTTCAATATTAGCTAGCTGCGACACTCTTTAAGTGGTTTTTTTTTAGTTTTTTTTTACTTGCTTTCGTATGAGTTCTTTCAAAAGCAGGAGATATTCGTCACTTGTGTGAATAATATGGAACAAATTGGGTTACTAAGCTATTGTTTTTTTTCAGCTTTGTATCAAAAATAAGTTAAAGTCTGGCATTTTTGGTTATATTTATTTTTCCGCCGACTTTTTTTTCTTTTGATTTTAGTTTAACCTTTTTTTCATCGTTTTCGCATTTAAATTATCTTTTTGTCATGCATCCTAATTATCTTTTTTGGTGTCATGCATCCTAGTTATCTTTTTTCTTCTATGCATTACTATTGCTTTTTCTTCTGGTGTTACACTTGGCATAATTTGAGCTGTCCCGGTTTTTCTCTCCCCCTCCCCCCCCTCCCCCTCCTCCCTCCGCCCTAGAAACTGTCTTTATTGTTCTGATTTTTTGAGAATTAATTTATTTTTTTATGGTTCATGTCCCGGTGATCTTGCTGGCCATGGCCTACTTTTTATTTCACGTTTTTTTCCAGTGTTCCAGTAGCTGAAATCAGTGAATAAGTGGCAAAAAGTGTATAAGTATGGCTGAACTGCAGTGGTAATCCAACTTGGAAAGTATAAAAATAGTGGCATATAGGGGCAATTAGAGGCAAACTTGGCTCGGCTCGGCTGCTATCCAGGATGCACTCGTTTTTGAGTTTGTGAGCTAATTTTGAAACCTATAATAGCGGTTTTTATGCCTAGACAAGATTTTAGATATCGCTTTCAAGCTTGCTAACTTTTTTTTTTTAGTGTTAAGTTTCATGCTTAGCATAAAAAACGCCCTCCCTCCTCCCGCTTTTCTCTCATAATCCACTGTTTTTTCTCCAGTTCCTACCTCCAAGCAGTGTTTCAGCTCCTTCTCAGTTCGGCTCTCGCTTACTGTTTCTTCCTTTTTTCCTCTCCCACTCCTTTTTATGTATGGCTTTCCATCCCTTTTTGTCATAATCCGTGCAACACAGAGCATGGGAAAATAGGAACAAAACATGTAAACTACATGTTGCCAACACAAATTTCGGAGGATGGGCATTAGCTTTGGGACATCCATTACAACCCTCGAGGCCTAAAACGCCACTCTCGTCCCTTCCGTTCTCCTACTCCGTTTGGCCTTACCCCGCCTATCCGTCGTCACTGCAACTCCCTCCCAAGTTCGGCCGAGCCGTGTTTTAGTAATTGCCTGCTAAAGTCATGTATCCGATTCCGCTAGCTTGGCAGTTGTCTATGTAAAGTTGTTCCTACTTTTTTTTTAGTAAGGCATGTAAAAGCAGGGCCAAGTTTAGACGCCGCGCACGAGTGTGGAAAAGTTTCGGCGGGAAGGTCGCTAACTCGGGAACCAGGAAAGCTGGGAGGATGGAAATTTTAAGGGTACTGTTTTGGCTCGGCCAAGATGAATGACAAGTTACAGTTGCATTCGTGGTGTTCCCCCTTCCACAAGCAGGCGGCCGAGTAGGATGGAGGTGCTTGGGAGGGGAAGTGGATTGGAGGCACTAGTTTAAGCTGCTGGAAGTGATAATAAATTGAGGGGTGAGGGCTGCAGTTGGTTGGCTAAAGAGATATGGTCTTGCTTGGAGATGGGAATTTCAGGTAAGGATGGAATTTTTGGGGAACAAACGGGGAGGGGAGGGACGCAGGAGGGGGCGGGGTAGGGAAGGATATATGGGTTTATGATGCTAAGCAATAAATTAGATTTTGTGTGGAAAAACTAGTAAGCTTGTGATTTCTCCGCATCAGCTCACTGGAACAAAAAGTCCGAGCCTTTTTTTTACGATTATGTTTTCTTCATACCTCTCAACAACGCTACAAGAAATGAGGGCATTTTCCTCAAAAACGAGTGCATTTTGCGTGGAAAATTCGCAAAAGAAAAATCCACTGCAGGTCGTCGTTTTAGTGGATAATTTACTGTTGGGCAGTTCCACTAATTCCGGCTACTTTGGACCAGTTCTGCTTCTCGGGGAGATTCCATCGGAAAGTGTTTTGATCTGCTTTAAGAGCTTGGATCACCTGATATGTCCTCAGTATCCTTGTAAATCGGCCATAATTCCGTTAGCCTGCTTATGTATGGATAAATGTGTGTGCGTCTGGGGGTGTGTGTGAGTGTGCGCTTGTATGTATGTATGTATATGTATGTGTGTGCATGTGTGTGTACGTGTATATGTGCATGTGTGTATATGTTTGTGTGTGTGTATATGTTTGTGTGTGTGTATATGTTTGTGTATGTGCGTGTATGCGTGTGTATATGTTTGTGTATGTATGTGTGTATGTGTGCGTATGTATGTATGTGTGTGTGTGTGTGTATGTATGTGTATGTGCTCACCATCATTCCCTGAGTTTCACCTCTGAAATATTTTTGCGACGACGACGACGCCGCACTTCTCCTCGTTGTCAAGCCATACATAGACGAATTTTCCGTCTATTTGTATAATTTATTATTTTGCGTGTTAGCCAAATTATCAACACGCATTCATTTGTATCTCATGTATTTTCCTCGTTCTATTTCAAATTTTTCTTGTATTACTTGCATTTTATTTGCAACATTGCTTTTTATTATATGAAACTATCGAATTCCTGATGAGATGGTACTTGTTGTTGTTGTGTTACGGGAATGATGTATGGCATTTTTTCGTTTTGAAGTCATAGCTACAGCGTTTTTCGCAATCTACCTCTTTGTATTTTCGTTGATGTTGTTCTTCTGCACTTCTGAAGCAAGCAGCGCCCCGTGAAACATTTTTGGCCGGAAATTGGCTAACTTAGAAACCAGGAAGGCTGAAATTTTCAAGGAATGCTTTCCTAACACAAGTACAACGTAAACCTTTCAAATTCAGCCCCCAGTCATGCGTGATTGTCGCGAACGGCCTTGTGAAATTTTTTAACGGGAAAATGGCTAGCTCGGATCTAGCAAGCAAGGCCGGGAAGGTGAAATTTTCAAGAAATGTACGACTTAAAATTTTAAAACCCAGCCCCAAGCATCCGCAGTTCTCAAGGCGATTCGGCTCGGCCGGATTGGGAGACGAGTTGTAGTAACTGGAGAATGTGGAGCAGAAAGGGAAGGCTACGAGCCAAAGGTAATAGTTTAGGTCCCGGGGATTGAAGTGACGGGATTATTAACTGGGAAGAAGCTCAGAGGTCTTGCTTGGAGGTAAAAATTGGAAACGGGAGCAAAGTTTTTTTTGGAACGAAGGGGGGGGGAGGGGTTGGAGGATCCCGCTTTGAATTTTTCGTGCTGTGCATGTAATTTAATGCGAAGGAAGAAACAAGTAGTCTTGAATGCGTTACCTGAAATCCTACCTAAACAAAAGCCTAGTAGTGCGATTTGTACGGTTCGAGCCAAAAAATGGGTATATATTTGGGTGGTGGAGCCAAGCCGAGCCGAGCTGAGTTTTAATAGTTGTCCTTTTGAATCGGTTTTTTGTTGTATTCAGAATTCCTTTCTTTTATGAATTATATTAATGACACTTTTGAAACAATTTTTTTTTGTTTCATAATTCATTTTTTATGTATTATAATAACCGCATTTTAACACTACCTGTTTTTGGATAAAAATAATTAAAAATTTCGAGTATTTTTGTGTTTAACACGTTGATCGGTGAACCAGCCTCGTGATTTTATCTCAAAAACTTTTTTTTTTTCGAAAGCGCTTGATTGCATTTGATGCTGAAAATCCAGCGTAGTTGAAAGTTCATTCTCATATAGACCTGAAAGGAGCATATCCTGTGTGTTTATGAGTGAGGGGAAACCACACAAAAATACAAAACCTACGAGGGTTTTTAGCCTATCGATTCTCAGGGTGGGTCTACTCGGCAGGGCTGCAGCCGTTTTGAGATATCCTGGATGTGTATATTTAAGGATTCGTAAATTTCGCAAATTTGCCGAAACGTCTTATTTCGCTCTCACCTTCCTTAGTCTGCACTAGTTTCTCCTAATTCCTTCACACTCTGCCATCTGCACTTCCAGGGTTAACCTGAACACTGCAATCTGCTTACCACATTTCGTATCTTTGCACCCCCTAAATCGCGAAAAGGTACTGCACTAAGCGGAAGAGGCTGGTATGTATTTGGTGTTTGTGCAGAGATTGGTATTTGAATCGGTCCTGTAGCTGGATGGCGAGGAAGGGGATAGTCTATTCATGCGGTCTACTAATCACCGTAATTTACTTGAAGGATTCGAAAAATTTTGGTATTTTAGTTCTATTCTAAAATTTTCTGGATCCTTCAAAAAATTTTGTTCTTTCTTAGGTTTCATACATTATATATGTTTTAATGTCCTGTTATATTCTGCTTTGGATTTTTGAAAAATTTTAGGTCTTTTTTTTTAAATTTTATAAATTATACGTGATTTGACGTCTGACATGACTGTGGATTTTTTCAAGATTAATTTGTGCAGCTTTTCCAGAATTAACTGCGAAGTGTACTGTCACTGAGTAAAGGATGCAGAACGACGAAGGAACTCTTGTGGAGCTCTACGTGCCAAGGAAATGTTCCTCATCATCGAGAATTATCGCGGCAACCGATCATGCTGCTGTGCAAATCGACTTGGTGGATGTCGATACTAAAACTGGACGAATGGTACCAGGCAAAGTTATCAGGTGATTTCTTGTGTAGCATATTTTGGTCTTTGGGCAGTTCACGAGCATTAGCATTCAGCCACGTTTGTGTAATTTTGCGTATGTCTTCATCCTTCTTTCCTCTCGACATCCCTTTCTCATTGTCGAATTTGCATTTTTCGATGAACGACGGGTCACTACTAGTAAAATTTATGATAATCATGCATGCTGACGGTTATTTCGTGCGGCCCCACGGTGCAACACTGCCGTCCCAGTCGATGTCTTTTTCCATCTGCATGTAGAAAAGGAGACTAGAACATACCCAGTATGTTGAATTGTAAAGCAGCCACCATTTATACTGTTGACGACCTGACCGCTTCAAATTTAGCTCAAAAAAAAAGCTCGGCTCTTGAAAAACCTTTTTCTTGCGCCTTTTGAATCCTTCCATTTTACTTTAGCCAACAAAAAAAAAAAAGAAAAAACAAACCGAAAATCAAAAACGACGTGAAGCACGCAAGCCAAATTCTCCCGTATAATTTTAATATAGTATTTACATTGACTGACAAAACCTGATGGCTGTATCTGAAGTTTCTGGATACTTTTTTTTAAAATTTTTACTTTTTTCAGTTACATTTTATGTCATCCATCTCAATTAAGCACATTTGCACTTGTTTTGACGGTCTTTCTGGTCGCAGCCAAATTTTTTTGCTCCAAGAACAGTGAGGCTGTGAATTTTGAATGTTACCAGCACGCGTTTTTAGATATGCAATCTGTGGGGAGATTCGACGTATGGGTGAATCAGATGATTGCATTTTACGCCTGGCAAAACGCGATGGTTTAATACCGAGTAATCTGTGAACATTTGTGTCAGGATTTTTTGTTTCTTGTTGTCCTGTGTTGTTTCAGGTGTTAAAACCAGGATAAAGCAAAGTTATTTTTGATGAGCTTGACAAAATATTTGGCATCTGGTAGCGGATCTGCTTTTTGGGAAACTCAAACAGTGGTTCAAAAATGAGGTTTTTCAGACTTACCTTTAAAAGAGCAAAAAATTGGGTGAAGCCAGGAATCGCCTCCACGTCAGTTTCCGCCTCTTTACAGGCAGGGCGGATATATATGTGACAGCTGTTGTACAGGCCGTCGAAATCCCAAACACCACAAACAGGCAATTTGTCAGTTAACAGAGGGTTTTTTCTGGTACCGCGTGGGAACGTGTCGATGGACCGAAGGAACCATTTAGGATGCTAGACTAAAGTGGATACAAAAGATGATTTATTATACGCACACAGACCACGAATCATCGGATTTTCTGTCATGTCTACTGATGTTCCTGTAATGGATATCACACACTACAGCCTCCGAATCCAAGATTTCAGAATGGATGCCGCGGGGATCAACGAAGGATTATGCCGTCGTAGATTCAATCTACGATGCGAGAAAGTTGGTGGAGGGGAAAGGTCGTTTGGGAACGGAAAGTAGAATCCCAGTCGAAGATCCGACCTCCGATGAGAACGTCGCTTCCCAAAGCAACTACTACAACTCGGCGCAGCTCGGCTGGTGGTTGTTGGTGCTTGGGAAGCCCTCTGTCATCTCTGGCAACAGTGCTTTGCAACGATGTTTTGTTTGGCAGCTCACCGGGATCGTTTGGCAGCCTGCCAGGAAGGCAGGGCAACGTTACCCAGGCCGCAGTGGCTGTTTGGCCTGACTGGTGGGAAGGCGGGATAGTAGAGGGGCAGCCGTGGTTGTGGGTGTGCGTAGAGGGGTGAGCGGCAGTTAGTGGATGTGCAAATGTCTTCTCCTCCTCCCTCTGTCTTCCTAAGCATCAAATTTTCCCATTTCCCCTCCCTCCCTCCCTTCCCCCTCTGGAGTGAGGACTGGGAGCATGGACGACTAAACTCGCCCCCGCCACTTAGCCCCCCTAAGCCGCACACCCCCTCCCCTCGTAATGAGGACTGAGGGCAGTGGGCGAACAACTCGCCCCTACCACTCAGTCCGAGTGGAGCGGAGAGACTGAATTTTGTGCCCAAAAACTAGGCTTATATACAGGAAGAATGTGGGCGTAGACAAGGGAGGTGTATAGATGACCTCAAGGGGCTGTAAAATGCGCCCACCCTGATACATTGCACATCACATATACATGATCTGAAAAGCTATAAAAATCCTTCCCTTCTATTTTTATGCGTTTTTGCTGTGCAGCGCTATAGCAGACAGCCTCTCGACAATATGCGTTTTTGCTGGCTGTAGCAGCGCTATAGCGCTGCTACGCATATTGTCGAGAGGCTGTCTGTGTGTGTGTGTGTGTGTTCGCAGTGCGAGTGCATTTTGTCA